GGGAGTGGCTGGGTGGGGAGGGTGGGGAGGGGCTGGGTGGGGAGGGTGAGCGGGGTGGGGTGTGGGAGGGGTGGGGCTGGGTGGGGAGGGGCTAGTCACCCCGTGGTGCCCTTATAAAGCCTCACAGTGTACCTACTCACGCCGGCCTTGGGCCCAACCTCACCAGTCGGGCATATCTGCGGAATACACCCACGCCGCCGTTTGACCCTGGCCATTGACCGAACAACCCAACGTTCCTACCAGCTCCCTCCGCAGGAGGAATGTGTTTTTGGCAATTACGTATGTATGTGGTAACGACTCAAAGAGACATTTATTTAAGACTTCCACAATAAGGGACCCGAGACTTCGTGCTTGTCTTCCAGCTTGTGTCTTCCTCCGAACGTCTCCACTCCTTGTGCTCTCTCCTTACATATGCCCTCAACCCCCATTCTCGAACCTTCTTGTCCTTTTTTTACCTTTAGCCAATCCCTGTCCGTTCACTCAGTCGGAGGAAGCGCCCCGGTGAGAACGAATTTCAAGGCTGGACTCCTCAGCTATATAAACCCTTGTCAAAGCCATCTCTTTGGCATACCTCAGCAACTGTTTTCGCTGTGGTGGTCCCCACCTGATGACGGACGTTTGTGTTGCGCCCGAAACGTCGTGATTTAATTCAGTTGTTTTCGCTTTTTTATTATTTTATTATTATTTTCACCTACGTGACTTTACCAAAAGAACCAAAGAGTATGGAGACACGTGATCTTGGGCCGTTCTCGCTTCTGCAGATGTTTTTAGAGATGCCAGAGAGGTAGATGGTAGATACATACACATTCAAGTAATGTTTGACGCATAGTTGGGTTAGCTTTTGCTGTCCTTAACGTAACCAGTGTGCTTGTGTTACTAAACATTCCTGTGGAGGGAGCTGGTAGGAACGTTGGGTTGCTCGGTCAATGGCAAGGGTCAACGGCGGCGTGGTGTATTCCGCAAATATGGCCGACTGTGAGAGCGGGCATAAGCCGGCATGAGTAGGTTAAACGTTGAGTTTTATAAGGGCACTACGGGGTGACCAGCCCCTCCCCACCCAGTACCACCACTTCCACCTCCACCCAGCCCTTCCTCACCCTCCCATCTTCACCCAACCCCACACCTCCCATTTTTGGATGCACGACGGACGGACACAATAATCCCCTGTGGGCTGGTGGTACCAGGTGGTTCCTACCAGTATAAATGGTGCATATATTCGCAGTGCATTTGCAGTTCTTTAGAAACTCCCCCCTTTTTTGTTGCCCACATAATGCACGAGCTTGATACACGGTGGTTTGGCTGCGGCAGCTCCTTACGATTACAATTTCCCTCCCTTTATCACTGCTAATCCTACATAATATACTAGCATAATATGACTTTGAAAGCCCCCCACCACCTACTACACATTCCACAACAAGTGACTAATCCCATATCTGCATTTGCCATCAATATGCTTATTCCGCTGTTGATATGTAAACTCCTTTGTCAAGGCACTCTCCTCCCCCGACCCAGCTTAAATATACGCTGCCAAGCTTGGCGGTTGTTCATTGGGACGCTGTCTTTCCGACAACTCTGTTTCTTCACCTGAGGACGGCTGCTTGTGTTGTGGCCGAAACGTCGTGAGAATTTGTATTTTATTATGTTTTATTTATATTATTTTATTATTTCCCTTCTACGTGACTTTACCGAAAGAACCAATAAGATGAATCCCTGCAGTCACGAAAGCTTTAAATCGAAATTTAAAGGTAGATGGTAGATACATACACACACATTCAAGTAATGTTTGACGCATGGTTGGGTTAGCTTTTGCTGTCCCTAAGGTAACCAGTGTGCTTGTGTTACTAATAAATGGTGCATATATTCGCACTATAATACAATTAAGTCATTAAGAGGACGTTAAACTTGTCACGGTTGGCTTGGGATAAATTGGTTGGTACGTTAGGCCACGCCCTATCGTCACGTGCAGGCGAGGCAGTCACGTGATGAAATCGCTAGTCACGTGCCCAACTGGACGAGGTGAGCTGCTGTTGAAATTGAGGCTTAACCGTTACAATTTAATCCGTCGCAATCCTTACAATAAACCATTAACACAGTTATGTTTTATCATACATATTTGATATTAGTGACCTTGCAATAGTAGTTAAGTTTTCATATATATTTTTTATATTTGCATAAATGTAAATATGCGATATTAATGGTAGGATACATTCCCTCAGGATTTTGAAGAACGGGAGGCCTGTATCGGTTGGGGGGGGGCATTCTTTTAGCCATCCCGTCGATATTACAGGTTTGATATATATGTACACTTATTTGTTATTAGTTTTATAGTTTTCAAATATGTACGATAGTGTGCAAATGTTATAGTATCAAATAGTTATTGATCATTTGCAGTGTTAATATTGTAAAATGTTGAGCCGCCATTATTGAGGCCTATTTGCTTAGTTGGAACCTGCCTCTTTGAATATCTAAGTGACACATTGTTATGTATTTGCTTAATTGATCAATAATTAATAGTATTATAAATTCTAGTTATGATAAGCACCGTAATGATTCTCAGTTGTCTTTCAGACAGCTCTGTCTTCACCTGAGGACGGCTGCTTGTGTTGTGGCCAAAACGTGATAATTTTATTTTTATAATTTTATTATTTCCCTTCTACGTGACTTTACCGAAAAAACCAAGAAGATGATTCTCAGTACTGTTTACGATCCTAGTATTAATCGGAACGGGGCTATGTTATAAATATTGTATAAGTATGGTAATCTGGAATAAGCATATTGTAAATCGTAGTTGGATAGGTTATGTAAATACTAGGATAATGATGGTAATACAAATAATAGGTAAAATAGCTGTATTTATCATAGTTAAGTTAGGAAAAGCATAGTATAATGGATAGTTATGATTAGTATGATATAAATGGTTGAAATAAGTATAGGGAGTTTTTATTATTAAAAAATGTTTACAATCGTGATACTCTTAGGTTTTTTCGGTAAAGTCACGTAGGTAAAAAATAAAATTTAAATTAATAAAAGTAAGAATAGAAATAAAATAATAAATCACGACGTTTCGGAGGCGACACAAGCTTCTGTCTTCAGGTGGAACCGTCACAGCACGATTGCTGTATCAAGTACCAAGAAGATGACTTGATACAGCTATCGTGCTGTGACGGTTCCACCTGAAGACGGAAGCTTTTGTGTTGCCTCCGAAATGTCGTGATTTATTATTTTATTTATATTATTACTTTTATTAATTTTAATGTAATTTTTTTACCTATGAGACTTTACCGAAAAAACCTAAGAGTATGAATCCTTGCAGTCACGAAAGCTTCAAATCTAGAATACAATAGTGATGCCAGCACGTCGATATTACAGGTCCGTTGGCGTAGCTGGGAGCCGGACGAAACGCGTTCCTTCGGAGTGGGCAGGTAGGAACTTGGTTGGACAGCGCATTCATGCACGACAGACAAATATGCACGACAGACAGACAAATATGCACGACAGACAGACAAATAATCCCTGGTGGGCAGTGTGGAACCTGTTGTTCCTACCTGTATAACAAGATAACTTAAGGTAGCCAGGCAGCCAGCCAGGTAGCCAGCCCCCTTAACTATCGGCCCCTCCCCCTTGCTTAGGCCCCTCCCCTGACCCCCCCTCCCTCAGGCCACTCTGCTGACCCCCCCTCCCTTACGCCCCTCACCTGACCACCCCCCCATATCCTTAGGCCCCTCCCCTGACCACCCCCATATCCTTAGGCCCCTCCCTTGACCCCCGTCCCTTAGGCCCCTCCCCTGACCACCACCCCCATATCCTTAGGCCCCTCTCCTGACCCCCCCTCCCTTAGGCCCCTCCCCTGACCACCCCCCCCCCATATCCTTAGGCCCCTCCTTTGACCCCCCCCTCAGGCCCCTCTCCTGACTGCCCCCTTCCTTAGGCCCCTCCCCTGACCCTCCCTTAGGCACCTCCCCTCTCCGTACCCGGCAGTAGGTCTCCACAAATCAAAGAGCTGTTTATATATATATTTATGCACGACAGACAGACAGACAAATAATCCCTGGTGGGCAGTGTGGAACATATTGTTCCTACCTGTATAACCCAATTTTGAACCCTCGTCAACCTCTCGGAAAGGATTGCCACCAAAACTTAAATTTCATCACTTATTGATGACCTCACTGTGTCCTCGATAACGATCACAGCCAGGAAAGAACGAGGCACAATGGGCACGGGTCACAGCAAGAATCCATTATGCTAATTGTGTGTATGTTGAACTTCTTTTGCACTGTACAATCGTGCTAATCAGAGGTGCGGGGGAAGGACAAACTTAACACAAGCAGTTCTAAAGAAATTAGTTTTAATTATAGATTTAAAAGCGCATACATTCAGTGGCTTCCTGATATTGAAAGGAATAGCGTTCCACACGGCTGCAGAAGCCACATCTGAAAGCGTGCAATGCGGTGACAGTCTTTGTTCAATGGCCAGTCTAAAGCCGCCACTGCTGCGAGGATGGACTTGAGTTTGCGTCAATAGATAAATAAGTAATATAAAAAACTTTTTTAATAACACGCTTTTATGAAATGTACGAGTAATGGCAGAACTCCACGACTCCAGGAAGTGGCCCCGAAGCTTGCCATAACGTAAGGTACAGTGGCCAATTACAACCAACGTCAGTTGACCGTGAACAATTAGACCCAAGCCTAAACATAATATATATTTTTATGATAGAATATGGTATTGTCATCAGTATGACATAATCATAGCAAGTTTGCAGTCGATACCACATTGGGAAGTGGGTTAAAATTTAGTAACAAGATTTGAGGATACAACAACGACAAACTGAGTTAAAAGAAAGCGTGTAATAAAGGCATTGAGCTTACACTTGACTCCACTCGGAGAGAGAGCAGGTTGACCCCGTCACGGCCCCCTGTATCACCGTGGGGACTGCAGCCGCCTCAGCAAAAAACGACCGGGAGGTGGGAAGGGCACAGCACATGGAGTGCCGTGGTCCTCAGAACATGGGGTTACCAGGGTCATCGGTGCTGATCCTGGATCGTGAGCTGAGCTGTTCCTGGGGCCGCTGCAAAGGGTGAGAACTCGGAAGGCCACGATGAGTCTCATTTTGCAAGAGTGACCCGGGGAAACGAATTTGTTAGTAGTGGCCAATGATCGCTGCTGTGTACTGGAGTGTCATTTGAATATTTAGCAGTGTATTTTCGAATTTGTCAAATTTGGACCATGATTGCTGGCACGTGATGGCCTGCTCCTGCAAATGACGTCATGGAATCTTTCATGTCCACTGTGAGTGAAGCAGACAGTGCGTAGTGATACTTTGGATATCACACACCGAAGTGCTAACCAGGGCGGCCAGCCGATTCAAATCGCAAACCTTGGCAACGAGTGGTGAGCGCGCTACTTCTGGGCGATGTCACAATCCAAAGAGTATGACCACTGAGATGGAGCAATTAAATCATGCTCGTGTTCCATCACCAGATCGAGAAAGATTGAGATGGTTTGGGGGAGGCCTTTTTCCGGCAGTGGAATGGCCATGGAGGATGAAGTCACATCAAACTTGCAGCCACTAGCGCTGCAACCATTCAAGGTGATATTTAAGAAATAACTAGCTTGTTTGCCCATTCTAGGACCGAAGCTGTAATATTTATGAAAAGATTGAGCAGAGTGTAATTGTATTTGTGTAAATTTATTGTCAGTGAATCTTGCACAAAAGGATGTCATCAAACACTTCACTGCATTTCATTGTAGCACTGCATTAATGGCAGTGATTCTTGCACAAAACTGTCATAAAACACCTCACTTCATGTCACTTGCACTGTATATAACTGACCTTCAATTTGTTAAAATTCGCTGCTTTGATGCTTTAATCTCTTCTGCTTTCGGTCACGGGTTGAAATAAATAGGAATTCGATACAATATCTGGAAAATCACCGAGAAATTTATATTTTACCATAATGTAGAAATAAGAAATAACACCAAATCCACTTTGTTGCTGCGTAGAATTGTTTATTAGATTCACTTTCAATAAATAGATGTCAAACTTGAAGCGAATTTGCGATTTTTTTAAAATTTCTGCTCGACCCTTTGCGCGAGTGTAAAAATCCACCCACTCATGAATATTAATGGCGGGGGGGGGGTTGCGGTATGTAGAGTGACGTCACACGCGTTACACACAAACATAGGAGTAATTCTTAGATTCGCAACCCCAAATTGCTCTAATTAATCGAATTTCTAAGGAGTGGATTGTCACCCCCATACCGATGGTGGAGCCAACACGGAGTAACGGAAAATTGTGTCAGTTCAGCATCATAGTGATGATGGGCCACTCGGTGACTTCGAAACCAGGGGTGAGGTCAAATGGCCCCAAGGCAGGAAGTTGAAAACTTAGTCTTCCTTTTGTTACCAATTGAGAAACCAGGGCCATGTGAACGTAGAGTATAAATAAACAAAACCAACATTTTTTTTTATTTTACCAGGTAAGGCCCACTGAGATATATCTTTCTTTTTCAGAAGCCATCTGGGCAAAAAATGATAGCTCAACGAAGTGGCTTATGGTGTTCACATTTATAGCAACCAAATACTTAAGAATCACTGCACCAGATTGAATTAAATGATAACGTCACCCTGCTGCTGCTCTATTTAAGACCGGGAGCAACAGGAGAGCTTCACCATTCTTGCCCGATGAAGCTGATTGTAATTACCAGCGAAACGTCATACTCAAATTTTAAAATGCTGTTGATTCTCTCATCAACACACCAGTGGGCTAAATAAGTGAATTATTTTGTCCTTTGAAAAACGTGACACATTTTTTACTGTTTGGCCGTGTTGGGTGGTGGAGGGTTACGACACATTTATAAATAACGCGATCTGACCCAAAAACCTATGTTATGAATAATATTGGTTGCGAAAGCCTACGTGTTAAACAAATACTTTAAATGCATATTTCTAATTTGTCGAGGGAAAAACCGGAGGACCCCTAGAAATAACCATACAAGCACAAGGGGAGAGAGACATGCAAACTCCAGGCGCCTGGGTCGGGATTGAACTTACAACCTCCTGCATACCAAGCGAGGTAGTAAACATATCATCATCGTGGCACTCTCGCCTACGTGGCACCCAAATGAAAGCATTGTAGGCGCCCGTGAAAAATAGGGTGCACGAGTGAGCTCAGACCCTAGCCTGGGACGAAGGGCCTTTCCGGGAATGAAATACAGATCGTGTTTCTGTTTGCGGTATTGACAAGTGTGAAGCCGCAGCATAATCTATGAAGAATGCAGTGTTTAACAGAAGTGCCAAGACTTTGTAATTACATTTCAAATAAAACCATTGTTTATTTTTTTTCATAACTGGGATTACAGTACATTTCTCTGTGTTATATTTACATGTCTATCAGCATCTGTGGTTTTGTGTATGTGTGCGTGTGTATGTAGGTAGTGGATCGCACCCTGCGCTATGGACCCAGTTACCAGAATTTCAGTACCACTGACGGTCAACAGTCCTGGGTCTTCCGTGGGTCGACTCAAACTCAGGTGAGAGATCTGGTGCGACATGCAAAGATCGTCACTTGGCAAACAAAGGTGGCCGGGAATGGTCACCCAGTCCATTGTGTACCATGCCGGCCTTGCCCCAACAGTTTAGCACCTCGGCTTTTGGGTGAATTTATAAATAATTGGAAAAAAGGCGTTACTGGGAGGGTTTGTCGGGGAAGCGAGTTGCCGTGCATGACTACTTCCTCTTGAATTTAAATGTCATCTTCTTGAAAGCAGCCTTCATGTTGCTGTGCAGCTTCTTTGCATTTTCTTATTCGCCAGTAAACAGATCCATGTTAAAGTAGCAGCGAGTAGTGGAGAGTGGCCTCATTGCTGACGCCACACAGTGTCGGAGCAGAATCACAACACCACTTGACGAGCCTTTGTCGTTAACACAGCCTTGACAGTGCCATGCGGTGGACCCTTGAGCAGTGACTAATTCATACAATTGGCGGTAGCAGTAAAATCATCATCGTGCTGCCAAATCCCTAATGGTTTCAAATGTGTGGCGGCCCTCACACTGATGATGTCTTATGGTTCCCTCTGGAAATTAATGAAGAACACTCTGTTATGTATATATTATATATACATAACAGAGTTATGTATATATAGTATATATAATACAAATTATTTTATATATAGTATGTTCCTAGGGGAGATGTCACAGACAGGGGTACTTGTGAAGTCACTTCAGGAGGTGTCTTTATGTAGTGACATGATGTCACTACTGTATCGGGTCTGTATACACATGACGTCACTGCTATGTTGGGTCTGTACACGTGACGTCACTGCCTGTTCGGTATGGAGGCTGTTAATGGGTGCCACGGGGATTGTGTCAGGCCGTGGCACTCAGAGTGACCCCGGCTGGGCACGTGACCGGATCTAGCAGGTGGCCAGGGGGCCTGGGGGACCCTGGGGATCATGTGGTCGGGGAGTGGAGCCTTCTCGTGGGTTCGAGAAGGGGGGCGTGGCCAGGCTGTGGCCGGCCACGCCAGAGAGGCTGATAAGCGGGCTTAGCGGGGAGAACTGGACTGTTGGTGCCTGGGATGAGGTCGTCTCATGAAGACTCTGAAGAAAGAAGTCTCCAGTCATCGTGGCCAAGCAGAAGCTCTCCTGGCTTGGCCACGCCAAGTAGTACCCGAGTGTTAGCAAAAATAGGACGGTGGTCACCACCTTATGTAGGGTGTGTTGCATTTGTGTTGCAGTTGTGTTAAATAAATAGTGTTGCCTCCACACGAGTGTAAGCACCTCTCGAACCATTACATTTATTCACAACAGGGGCACACCTTTGATATCCCTTATAAATATAGTTTGTGGAATGTCACATGTTTTGGAGTTGGGATAAGCCACGTTATTTATTAGGATGGTCTGTTTTTCAACTATTGAAACTGGAAACTTGCTATATTTGAGACCTCAGTTTAATCACAGATGGCGAGCAAGGTCTTCAAACTTTCCTTTTGTTAACTACCTCGCCTGGGTTCGATCCCGACCCTGCATATTCTCCCGGTGGTTGTGTGGATTTTTCTCCGGGTCCTCCAGTCTTTCCCTCCACATTTAGAGACATGCGTTTAGAGTATTTGGCTGCTATAAATTTCCATGTGATAAGCCACTTTGTTGATTCTGAAAAAGAGCTAGGTAGCTCAGTGGGCCTGAACTGATGAAATAAATAAATGGTTTATAGTTTAGTTTGAATGCAATGAAACAATATTCTTGAACCAATTACTTTCACTAAAATAATTTGCAAAACAACGTAAAATATGTGTCATGGTCACTCCACAGACAACGCGCTCACAACACAATACCTTGGCAAATGGACTAACACGTACACCAACTTGTAATAAATATGCAATGCAAAGGTCTAGAAGCATGGTCCTTATAGACAGAATACAGATTGGAGCACACACTCAGGTTAAAGATACCATTCCGCCTGTTAATAAGTAATATTTTTAAAAAACTTTTTAAAAAACACGCTTTTATGAAATGTACGAGTAATGGCAGAACTCCACGACTCCAGGAAGTGACCCCGAAGCTTGCCATAACGTAAGGGACTGTGGCCAATTACAGCCAACGTCAGTTGACCGTGGAAAATTAAACCCAAGCCGAAACATAACATTTAAAAAAGGATGTTTAAAAATATAGATGTGTTATGATAGAATATAGTATTGTCATCAGTAAGACATAAGTATACCAAGTTTGCAGTCGATACCACATTGGGAAGTGGGTTAAAATTGAGTTACAAGATTTGAGGATACAACAACAACAACAACAAAAGACGAGTGAGTTAAAAGAAAGCGTGTAAAATAGTGGTGTTTCGGAGGCCTGATGATAAAGGCCTTTGCAAGACCCTAGAATTGAAATGTGAGTGGGAAGGAATTAGTGGGGACATGATGCCTCTTTCTTGGTGTGGGTTGCGAATTTGATGAGCTATAAAGCTCTTTTCATAGATGTCCAGTAGGACATCTGTGCCATGCTAAGTGCACCTTCAGGCCTGCGAAGTGTCAAAGGCTTGTAGCCAGTAGGTCATGGAACAGACCCAGGTGCCATGGGATTGACTGACTGAGATGACTGGCAGATGCACACGTAACACACTTCTCTCACCTGACTTCACTTTCTTGTGGTGCGTGTTATTGTGGCCATTTCTGTTCCCATCTGCGTTGCCGCTGGTCCCTGGATCAGAGGACCTCCATAAACCACCCGCCTGGCGCCGCTTCTGCATCGTCCACGGCCCTCGGCTGCAGCATTACACATGGGTAAAGTGCGGTGAGGCCTTCCAAGATGTTTGTCCGGAGCCATGGTGGCTTGTCTTCCCTGTTCATGGGACTGGCTTCACTGGCATCATCTACAGTCTGTGCTGGAAAGCTGCCATAGAGCACAAAAAGAGAAGCAGAAGAAGATGGTTTAGACATTGAAGGTTTCACCCACCAGAATGCAGCGTACAGCGCTTGTGCACTCAAGGCTTTCTAGGTTCCTGCACAATGTTCTTACCTTCCAAGCTACGATTACGACACACATACCTCGACATTGTCTCAGAAAGATGGATATGCATTTGAAGATTCTTTAGTTATTTTTTTCATCACTGCCTTGTGGTAGGTGTAGAGATATCATAGTGTGAACTGATACTGCTGAGATCCTAATTTATACGCCAGGTAGCTGATTCATCTTCTTGGTTCTTTCGTGACTTTACCGACTTTACCGAAAGAACCAAGAAGATGAATCCCTGCAGTCACGAAAGCTTTAAATCAAAGGTAGCTGATTGAGATAAAACTGGGCTTTAAAGTGAAGCGAGTTTGTTTTAATTAAATCCTAGTTCTGAGAGTTATGTGATGGAAGTCATATATGTTTCCATGGACCATTGTCTAACATGGGGTGATGCTGCAAGAGAATGGGCATGGATGAATAATTTTGGAGCATGATGCTTAATGCACATGAGTTAATTGTATCATCGATGAAGCTTGAAAATGTGTGCCAGACTGGCAAACGACACGTCAATTAGTTGTGTGTAGCTACTAGATAAGAGCTTTTTGTTTCAGTTTGTTTTTCTTCAAGTCGCTTTAACATGAGGGACTGACTTTTCCAAATTTTCCCCAAAAAGTTATTTCTGCAATGATATTTTTTTGTGACGATAGGCCCACAGTGATGACATCACCTTTATTGCGTTATTGAAGAACAAAACACGAGGATGTCTTCACAATTCTGGCTATTGACTGATGAAGCTGGTTGTAATCAGCGAAATATTGTTCTCCAATGGTAAATGTTGTGGGTTTACTCCAAAACACTGGTGTGCTGAAGTAGTCACGTACTGGAACAAACCTTGGCTGTGTGGGGTAGTGGTGGGTTTAACAACACATTTATATTTATTCAATCTATCCCAAAAATACCTTTATTATGGACATTGCTTTATATGCGGGGTAGATAGGGAGGGGTGTGACATGTGAACTCGCCTAACAAAGCGCCATTATAGAAGCCTTGCACCAAGACACAGCGATCAGCCCCATGGAACGCAGAACGGCCATCATAACGGTCTTGTAGACTGCGTCCACAGACAAGGAAGGAGCAAACCACATTCAGCAAGTTAACCCCAGTAAAATATCAACAAAATATCAACTCTCATTTCTAATTAGTGAGGGTTAGGGACTTACAAAGTTAGGGTTTGGAGTTGGGGCTATGTTAGGGTTTAGAGTTACAGATAGGGTTTGGAGTTAAGGCTAGAGTAGGGTTTGGCAACTAAAATAACAGCCATTTTTGTCGAATTCGTAAAAATATTTTTCAATGCACATGAATACGAGATGGTATTTAATAAATAACTTTATGACGCAATTCTTTAAGGGCCACATACCTTTCCTGAGCCACAGGTTTCCAACCCCTGTGGGACAGGGATAATGATATTTTTGGATTGCACTCTCATGTTCACGTCCTTTGGATTGCACTCATGTTCACGTCGTTTGGATTGCTCTCTCAGGGTCCTAATCTGTCATTGACACTGCTGTTGTGCGCATATGCGGGCATGATACTCTTATGCAGAGACGGAAGCTCATGCTAATCTCCCTCCCTAATCCCTCTCTCCCTAATATCCCCCATTAACAAATCTGAAGTGCTTGCGTCCGTGGATGGAATTCCTTTCCAGCTCAGACCCCGCTTGCTTGCCAATCGCCACATAAATTAACTGTGTTGTAACTGCTCTCTTGCTGGTTCAGCAGTTACACTGCTGGATTATATTTTTTCCGCCTGAGGACGACCGCTTGTGTTGCGATCGAAACGTTGTGATTTATTTTATTTTATACCTACGTGACTTTACCGAAAGAACCAAAAGAGTATGGATTCCTGCAGTCACGAAAGCTTCAAATCAAGATTGATAATGATATTCTTATTACCTGGAGGTTTTTGGGCCACGTTAGGTGCCTGAAGGATGGCCGTGGTGCTGGTTTGAGTGGAAGTCATTGTGGTTGTCACGCTGCGCATGCGCTTGATCCAACCAAACATTCCCATCGCAGGCTCTGCTCCTGAATGACCAACCGGCAGAACCAATACGTCGTAGGGATAGGTATCTGTTGTGTCTTGACCCTCCAGAGCAACCCCGGACTCACTCCTTAATCAGACCAGAGGCAGAGAAGCTTCAACATGAACGAGTGCTTTACTGAACGACTCCGGGAAGTGGCCCCAAACCCCAGGGACAGCGGTCCTTTATACAGTGAGGGAAAAAAGTATTTGATCCCCTGCTGATTTTGTATGTTTGCCCACTGACAAAGAAATGATCAGTCTATAATTTTAATGGTAGGTTTATATGAACAGTGAGAGATAGAATAACAACAACAAAATCCAGAAAAACGCATGTCAAAAATGTTAAAAATGGATTTGCATTTTAATGAGGGAAATAAGTATTTGACCCCTCTGCAAAACATGACTTAGTACTTGGTGGCAAAACCCTTGTTGGCAATCACAGAGGTCAGACATTTCTTGTAGTTGGCCACCAGGTTTGCACACATCTCAGGAGGGATTTTGTCCCACTCTTTGCAGATCTTCTCCAAGTCATTAAGGTTTTGAGGCTGACATTTGGCACTCGAACCTTCAGCTCCCTCCACAGATTTTCTATGGGATTAAGGTCTGGAGACTGGCTAGGCCACTCCAGGACCTGAATGTGCTTCTTCTTGAGCCACTTCTTTGTTGCCTTTTGCCGTGTGTTTTGGGTCATTGTCATGCTGGAATACCCATCCACGACCCATTTTCAATGCCCTGGCTGAGGGAAGGAGGTTCTCACCCAAGATTTTACGGTACATGGCCCCGTCCATCGTCCCTTTGATGCGGTGAAATTGTCCTCTCCCCTTAGCAGAAAAACACCTCCAAAGCATAATGTTTCCACCTCCATGTTTGACGGTGGGGATGGTGTTCTTGGGGTCATAGGCAGCATTCCTCCTCCAAACACGGCAAGTTGAGTTGATGTGTGTTACCAACTGTTTTATTGGTGACTGGTCCCAGCTGCCTTGAGATCATTGACAAGGTCCTCCCGTGTAGTTCTGGGCTGATTCCTCACTGTTCTCATGATCATTGCAACTCCACGAGGTGAGATCTTGCGTGGAGCCCCAGGCCGAGGGGAGATTGACAGTTCCTTTGTGTTTCTTTCATTTGCGAATAATCGCACCAACTGTTGTCACCTTCTCACCAAGCTGCTTGACGATGGTCTTGTAGCACATTCCAGTCTTGTGTAGGTCTACAATCTTGTCCCTGACATCCTTGGAGAGCTCTTTGGTCTTGGCCATGGGGGAGAGTTTAGAATCTGTTTGATTAATTGTTTCTGTGAACAGGTGTCTTTTTATACAGGTAACAAGCTGAGATTAGGAGCACCCCCTTTAAGAGTGTGCTCCTAATCTCAGCTGATTACCTGCATAAAAGACACCTGGGAGCCAGAAATCCTTCTGCTTGAGAGGGGGTCAAATACTTATTTCCCTCATTAAAATGCAATTCAATTTATAAAATTGTTGACATGCGTTTTTCTGGATTTTTGTTGTTATTCTGTCTCTCACTGTTCAAATATACCTACCATTAAAATTATAGACTGATCATTTCTTTGTCAGTGGGCAAACGTACAAAATAAGCAGGGGATCAAATACTTTTTTCCCTCACTAGTTTCTAGCAAAGTTTGACATAACGTTAGGGACCGCGGACAATTACACCCAAACAACGAAATATAACATATCTTCCCCCTTAAATGGTAATGTCCACATTAACACAAACAACAACTTTATCTAACTTGGAAGAGAGTGTAGGCAGCCTCAACATTCCGCTAAACCCAAATGGGATTATTCTGCCCCTCGCTTCCACGGTTAGCACTAACTATAACGTACTGAAAGTTTTCTTTCTCTGGGTGGATTGCGCCGCAACACCGGAACAGGCTCAGGTGTAGATGTAGGCTCAGGCTGAGCCTCAGGTGTACTTGGACGATTGGGCTCTGTTGGCAGTGGTGTAGAAGGGGCTGGCGTAGGTGCTGACATGTTCCAGTAGGGTGTCAGCTCACTTGTGAAGGTAAACGCTGGCGTATTTACTTCAGAGTTTGTAGCCGCAGGTTCATGAGGAAGTAACTGGTCGACATGTCTCCTTCAGGTCTTGTTGTCTTGGGTGCTGACTTTGTATGAGACAGGTCCAGTCTTTTGAAGAACAGTTGCAGGAACCCACTTTTCCTTAGTGGTGTAGTTCCGTTCATAGACAGGATCTCCAACAAAGAACTTTCTGTCCTTAGACCGCCTTGCTCGTACATTGACTTGATCTTGCTGGGTGTTGGTCTCAATAGATCAAGGCGAGTCCGGAGCTGTCTTTTCATGAGTAGGTAAGCAGGGGACGTTCCAGTTATCGCATGCGGAGTGTTGCTATACTTGAGCAGGAAAGTGTCGAGTCGCAGCTTCAGTGGTGCCTCCCTTCTGGGTGCTTTTAAAGCATGTTTGATTGTCTGAACCATTCTCTCTGTAACTCCATTAATAGATGGATGTGCTTGATTCCATTGTTCTGTAGGAAATTCTGCATTCTTTAGATGCAAAAGATGGCCCATTGACCGTGACTATCTGCTCAGGCAGTCCTAGACATCCAAACATCTCCCTCAGAATCTCGAAGGTCTTCCCCGATGTTACGGTGGACATGACTGAGACCTCTGGCCACTTTGAATGGGCGCCATCGGCAACCAGCAACATCATTCCTTCCACTGGTCCTGCAAAATCTAGGTGAACACGCTGCCACGGGCTCGCTGGCCAATCCCAAGGATGCAGTGGGGCCAAGGTTGGCATGTTTCTGTTGATTTTACATGAAGTGCAGGATTTGGCTGTGGCTTCAATAACCTGGTCTAGCCCCAGCCACCAGAAATAGCTATGCGCTAATTCTTTCATCCAGACGATTCCACAATGTCCAGAGTGCAGCTCATCCAGGACAAGTTTCCTCAGCTTTGGCGGTATAATGACAAGCATACCCTACAGTAGGCATCCCGCAGTCACCGTCAACTCTTTTCCCCGAGAAAGGTAAGGTCGTAGATCAAGCGGCGCATCAGAGACACGTGGCGGGTCACTTCTCATCACTCGGTCGAACACTCTGGACAGTGTTGGATCTCCCTTTGTTTCCTTATTGATTTGTTGAGCGGTCAAAGGTGTGTTCTCTACCATATCGAAGTAGAAAACCTTCAATTCGCTACTTTTAAGGCAGTCAGGCAGAGGAAGTCGTGACAAGCCATCAGTGTTGGTGTGTTCTTCAGACCTTGGAAACTTGATGTCTAGTTGTGAGCACTCAGGAGGAGTGCTCAACACTGCAGTCTGCTCGCTGCAAGAGTTGGTATTCCAGAGTACAGACCAAATATGGAAGTCAGAGGACGATTTTCCGTCAGCAAGGTGAATCTCCATCCAAACAAGGAGGAATAACACTTTTTGATTCCGAATTCCCAACGCTTTTTCCATCTGCAGGTATTTCACCTCTGCTTTGCAGAGCGTCTTTGACGCGAACGCAATGGGCCTTTGTTTTCCAGCAGGTGTGATGTGCAACAAAACAGCCCCAACTCCATATGGAGAGGCATCGCATGCAAGTTGAATTGGCAAGGACGGGTCGAAGTGAGTTAACATGCAGTCGCTGCCCCCCCCCCCCCCACCCCGTAGGTGGGGCCCCAAACCATGGTTGCGGCTGTAACCTCGCTCGCAAGCTGCTGCTGCTGAGGTGTGTGTGTATGCAGCCTATTGCATAGGATTGTCGAGCGCCGATTGACCGGCTGATCTATTTTTTGAATATAACTTGCGTTATATTAAAATAAATTAAAACAACTAAATTAAATCACGACGTTTCGGGTGCAACACAAGCGTCCTTCAGGTGGGGACAACGTAGCGAAAGCATAGCCGCTTAAGTGTCTAAGAGATGGCTGTGACGAGGAATTATATAGTCACGGGGGATGGAGGGAGGGGAGGGGCCATGGTGAGTGTGTGGGCGGGTTGTGGACTGGGAGGCAACATTGTGAAGTACGGGGGGGGGGGGAACATTGTGAAGTACGGGGGGGGGGGGGGGTGAACGCTGACTTTACCCACTGCACTGGCCGAGGGATAACCCAACTTCGGTCAGTCAGGTAAAGAGCCACTCCGAGCTCCATGTTAGATGTCCCCTACCCTAGGTCCCGACTTCCACCCTTCACATTCCCGGACTCTCCTGACGACCTTGTTCGCGTCACGGGTCCCAGCCTAAATACCTCAGAGAGACATGACGTCACCGTTCGTGACATCGTACCGGAGAGCGGGCATGACATGACGTCAATAACTACTACTCTATAGACATACGAAAATAAAAAAAGTTTTATGTATGTAAAAAGTATTTGTGTATGAATGAAACTTGTTTTGGAGAATAAAAACTGTAATTCTAAATAAGCAATGGAACTGTGAACCCAAATGATGGACCACATAATAAGCCAGTGTGGTCTCCGTCTCTTTAATGGAGGAATAACAGGACTTGCATAAGCTTTTTCCTGAAGCCCTTTCGTTGCCAGCAGACCTGAACATTGACATTTAGCTCTCCAAAAGTGGCACATGCAAGAAAACAAACAGAAAAATGTATTTAATTGTAGTTAACATTTATTTCGTGCCTTTTTTCAGTTTTCAGTCTCATTGATTTGGTATAGCCCTGTGAGGCATGTGGCTCTTGACTTTGAGGTGCACCCGCAACAAACAAAAACATGAACAAACAACACCTTAAAGTGACGACGCGCACAGAAACATCCAGGAAAAACAGCAAAATCTTCCAGAAAAAACACCGTATATCAACGCTGCGGCATGGATGAAGTGGAGGCAAGTAACCGGAGTCCTCTGATCGGAAAATGCCGGATAGGCTGAAGGGAAAAATTTACAAGACCATCGTCCGACCGGTGGCACTCTATGGATCCGAGTGCTGGCCAGCCACAACTGTACACGAACAAGCTCTCCACACCATGGAGATGAGGATGCTCAGATGGAGCCTCGGACTCACTCGATGGGATCGTGTCATGAACGAAGACGTTCGGAAGCGACTTGGTGTGGCCCCCATTGCGGACAAGATGCTTGAGGCAAGGCTTCGGTGGTACGGCCATGTGATGCGAAGTGGAGTCATCAGTGGCCAAGACTGCCATGCGTATTGAGCTAGAGGGCCGCCGTCCACGCGGACGTCCGAAGAAGCGATGGATGGATCGAATAAAGGAAGACGTGAAGACGGTCAACGCATGCCCTGAAGATGCCCTGGACTGAGCCAAATGGAGAAGACAATGCCGAAAAGCAGACCCTGCGCCACAGCGGGAACAACACTAGGAAGAAGATCAACGCTGTGTGCAAAAATTACAGTGGGATGTAAGTCAAACAATAACAACCATAACACAATTTAGATTAAAGTTATCAAGCTAACTCTACTTCAAACAAACATGGCTTAACCATACATTTAAAAAATCACCAACATAAAGCTATAAAAACAATGTAACAGTGATCATAGGAACTGTGATTCAAATTTAAGAATAAACGATATACATAACATATACGACCAAATTTGCAGCCATAGCTGGCAGCATGAGTCACTCCATAACAGCAGGAGTATCAGCAGGAGTATCAACATTTTTCAATGTACCTTTAAAGATCAGCACACTATAATCAAAACTCAAGGTCATACTTGTATGATATGCCTTTGTCTTTTATTGAATCCGATGAGTCAGTATATGGTTAATGGTAGAAAAACATGTACAGGTAGTCCTCGACTTACGATGGAGATGCGTTACGACGACCCCATCGCAAGTCGAAAATAACGTAAGTCGAAAATGGCCTAGCCTATCCAGGAGTCTTAAAAAAGGGTGATAATTTAGCAAAACAGAGCAATTTACAGTACCGTACTGTATAAACTATATACTGTATGTATTTATTAATTACAATACTGTATTGCACAGTACAATTTAAAGTAAAAAACAAGGTAAATTATTAGCCTACCTATATGAACTGCAATTTCATTCCTATCTGCTAGAAAAACTTTTAACATGCATTGAACGTATGTATCGTATCATGGTAAATCTAAAATGAAATCGCTAAAGCTACGTATCATACATGTGAAGTACCGTTGATGACTCTTGGACACCGTTGTTGAGGCACACGTATTTATTCCGTACAAGTAGTCACAACTGTGGACATATAATACTAGAGGGGGTATCGGCCCCCTCACCCGGATAGCTGGGGATACTCTGCTAGCTACCCCTAACCTACCTCCTGGTCCTCCACTAACGGGCTGGGGGAGGCTATCTGGCCCGACACTGGTCAGTCGGGCTACGGTACCCGGAGTCCCAGAGTACTAACTCTGGTTCACGGGACCACGCCGCTGGCTCGGTCCTGCGCGGCCCTGACAAGGGCGGTGTCCCAGGGGAGTCCAGGGCTCTAGCTAGCCGATCTTCCGTCTTCCCTCCTTTTGCTATAACACTGCCCCGAGCTCTCCGGCTCATCGCCATTTATACCCCCCGGAGGATCACAACTCCGGGCAACCCCCCAGGCTGCCCGGTGCGGACGTCGTT